GAAGAAATTATATTATTTCTTATTTCTATTATATAATTTTTTATAAAGTATTTTTTAATTTCTATTTAAATTTTTTAACTTTTATTTTATTATTATTATAAATCTCAAATTTATTTTAAAATATATACGTTTTGTAACTGTTCCAATAATACATTTTATTACATTAACTATGTAAATGTTAAATCTTCTTAATTAATCATATAAAGATAATAGATATATTTTTTAAAAACAAAAATTACAGTATAGCGGATAAATTACCTGAGTTTGACAACTTAAATGGAATGGATATCTTAACATCTAATGACGAATTGGACAATATTCAGTTATATGATTCAACTATGTAATCATAATTTTTGACATTTTCTTAATATTAAAAGAAAAATTCTGATATTTTATATTTACATTTATATAAGATGCATACCATAAACGTATGGTACTTTAAAATAATATCAAATAAAAACAAACATATTTCTGATATATTTTTATTATTGGTATATTTTATTGTAAAATTTTATATTATATAAAGTACGGCTAAAGAAGGTTCTCACACAAAATCATCAAATTTTTACATATGTATTATTAGGACCTGCTTTATTAACGTCGGTTAATGCTTTGCTTAAACTCACTCTTCATCTCTTTCTAATTGGTCTCCCTTAATTTATTGTGAATATTATACATTATTATATTCATGTAATTTATTTTATATATTTAAATAATCTAAATTGTATAATTTTATATTTTAAATTTTATTTACATCTGTCTACAGATTTTTTGTTTGTTTTTCTCAAGCTTTTTATATCAAATATACTATATTTACTTCTTTAAATATTTAGGTTTTTTCATATTTTTGTTCAGAAATAAATATTTATAAGTATATTTTAATTAAAAATAACATGTACTTTTAATGTAAAATGTAGAAGATTGATTTACATTAATGAGTAACGTCATTCTAGAGTTCCTTAATTTTGACAATTTTTTATGGGAATATAGTGAATGGAATACAAAATCTATTTAAAGGCCTTTATTGTACATACATACTTTAAAGTGTTCATAATTTTTTTCAATTTTTTTTTTACAAAATGGCGACGCCAGAGCTCAGCAAAGGAAGCCGGAAGTGTTCTGCAGCCGGAAAGATTTCTCCTCCAATTTGTGACCTGGAACAAAAAACCAAAAATTTTTTAGTTTTATATAAGATTAACTCGGGAAGTACACACGGAAATTAAAAAATATCATTTTTTATAAAAATGGTGCACGTTTGAACAAAACGTACAATAAAATATTTTTTTCAAACGTATCATTTTTACAAAAAATGATATTTTTTAATTTCCGTATGTACTTTCCGAGCTAATCTTATATAAAACTAAAAAATTTTTTGTTTTTTATTCCAGGTCAAAAATTGGAGGAGAAATCTTTCTGGCCGCAGAACACTTCCAACTTCCTTTGCTGAGCTCTGGCGCCTACATTTTGTAAAAAAAGAAATTGAAAAGAATTGTGAACACACTTTAAGGTATGTACAATAAAGGCCTTTAAACAGATTTTGTATTCCATTCACTATATTCCCATAAAAAATTGTCAAAATTAGGGGGCGCTAGAGTGGCGTTACCCCTTAATAAAATAAATTAAAGTTTTAAAAGAAGAAAAATATTAAATTACATTTTCTCTCTTTTCTCAATATAATTTTAAATGAAGCATTTCTCAATTTTTGTAAAATTATCAAGTTTATCTCAAAACATATTTATAAAATATATTGTAATTAGCCTATAAAAAAAATACTCTCTCTATAATTTTAATTATAACTTAAATATTCTTGATCATTTTATTACTTTTATAGTGAAATAATAGGTTTTGTTGATGGTATAGAAGCTCCTCGTTATGTAGGAGATAAGCAGCAGTATAAAATTTTTAAATTTTTCTTAAATAACGGCAATGGAAAACGTATCCAAATAATGACCTGGAATGATGAAGTAGATAAAGTGGAACCTCATATAAAATTAAATTACGTAAGTGTTTCTACTATGCGCTTCACTATTCGCTTTTTGGTTTATAATAAAAATGATATTTATATTTATTAATATGGACGTACAATTAAATACGAATAATTTATAAAAATTATAATATTTTCTAAAATAACTTGTATATTTGCAATGATTTATGTTTAAAACTATGACGGGGATCCAAAAGCCGTCTGTAACTGATTTTTTCTTAACGCATATCTTTTTATTGGCTCTATGGATTTAAAAATCCTTTTCCAAAGTTAAAGTACGCATCAAAATCTAGATCATGGTGGTCGAATTTATATCGAAAACAAAAAAAATTAATATTTTTTGTTATATGCGACGACAATATTTGCTTTCTACAAAAATTTCACAATAAATATCCACAAAATTAGACCAGCATGACCTAGGGACAACATGTAAGAACAATATCGTGTAATTGGAATTAAGAATAAAAGCCAACAAAAAAAAAATTAATTGTAATGAATGCAATATAACCTATAACCATGTCTATCCTTGTCTATCATCATTGTCTATACAAGGACAGATATAGAATTTGGTCGATAATACAGATGGCTTTAGGATCTCTTTAATAGTAATGATGAATAACTCCTGATGACTATTTATCACTATATTCTTAAATCGTGACGTCAGGAGCAAAAAGATTCAAAATAAAAATTTTTGTCAAATATATTAAATATTAAGGGGATGCTAAAGTGACTCAATTACTGACAATTACAGTCAAAGGTCTAATTTTGAAATGGCTGTATAGATCGCAAAATCCTTTTACAAGAGTAAAGTATAGGTACTAATAAAGGATGGGAATGTAAAATAATTAGTAGTAATTGAAAAAAATTAAAAATCCTGTTACCTCATTTTCTAATATAAACAGTTGTATAAGTAATATGTACGAAATGAAATGTTTCCACCCTTCAGAAAACGTGCACAAACAATAACGTACCTTTGAAATTGAGATTGAAAGCCTGGAATAAAAATGAGACGTTCGAAGAAATTATAACCTATAACCATGTTTATCCTTGTCTATCATCATTGTCTATACAAGGACAGATATAGAATTTGGTCGTTAATACAAACGGTTTTAGGATCCCCTTAATATATTGGGTTGGCAAATAAGTTTGTTCGGTTTTTTTCATTCAAAACCAGTCAAAAAACCGAACGAACTTATTTGCCAACCCAATATATCTATTAATAACATAACATTTTCACAACTTAAAACAGTAATAATGAATAAACAGACATCTTAATACAATGTGTACAATTTTTATATAGAATGTATATTTTTTATCTAATATAAGTATAACAAAATCATACAAAGTTTAGAAAATTTATTCATGAATTTTAAACATCTTATTACTTATTGATAGTACTTATTTACAGTAAAAATAATACTAAAAACATTACTTTTAACATTATTTTCCTATCTTTTATTAAATGTATATAATATATTAATTCACTTTTGAATATATGTATAAAAATTTAATTTTGACTACTTAGAAAAATAAAAAATAATTTATTTAAGAAATGATACTAAAATAATTTAAATTGCTATAAATTGTGCTAAATTATATTAATCAATTAAATTTTTTAATGTTTTGCATACCTATAATCATGAAAATAAACAATTTTATGTTTTATGTTACGTATATTTCAAACAAATTAATTATCCAGAAAAGAAAAAAAATTCTTTTAAATTGATCAAAAATTAACTAATCAAATAATGTCGGCTATAAAATATACTCTTAATGTAATTCGAGTCTCATTTTTGTCATTTTTATTTTATAACTTTTAAAAAATCATTTATATATATATATCTTGTATATATATATATATATATTATATATATATAATATATATAATATATATATATATATACATATATATACAAGAAATTTACAAAAAATTGTCAACTAACAAAAGGTTAATTTTTTAGAAGTTATAAAATAAAAATGACAAAAATGAGACTTGAATTATATTAAAAGTATATTTTTTGCCGATATTATTTGATTAGTTAATTCTTGGTCAATTTGAAAAATAATTTTTTTTCCTAGATAATTAATATATATATTTATATATACACACACATACACACACACACATACACATATACGCACGCACGCACGCATACACGCATACATACACACACATACACACACACACACACACACACACACATTTATGTGTTATATGTCAAATAATTATTGAATTAATAAATAATTAATTAACGTGTTTTATAATAGATTATTCATTTAGACGGCGTACAAGCTCGTCCACCAAAAGCCATTCAGTTTAATAATGGCAATGTACCTTACGAACTACAAGTTCGTTCAAATACAATTGTTAAAAGTTTAGGAAAATATGAATTATTATGTTCGTCAAATGTTGAACCAGAATGTGTTCAATTTTTAGATGTCTTAAACACGTCAACACGTGTCAGTAAGTTTTGTAGTATCAATTTATAACATAATAAAACATTTATGCTATAATAATGCATTTGAATTTATAATAAGTTTAGACTAATAAAATGTATAACAGACAGATAAATACTAACAAAACAGTCTATCGATGGATTTTATACTTAATAATATTTATCTTATTTTGGATATATTAATATTAAATGTTTACAAATAAATAAATATACATATATATATATATATGTATATATATATGTATATATGCATATTTATTTTTTTTTTAAATAATCAAAATATAAAATATAATTCCTTTTTAACACTGTCTAAATATCTATTTTTTAGCCATAGAAGGTTTCATCAAGACAAATTTTGCTCCAGTTTATAACAATAAGTTAAATAAATCAATTGGTTGTGGATCTCTGACGGATGGCGAATATAAGTTAGAGATTCACATAATGAATTTTAACGAAGAAACTTATTGTGATCTTGAATTAGTAAAAGGTGATAAAATTAAAATGACTGGTAAAATACAAACTACAGGTAAAATATTCTTCATTATTATTGATAAAATTTATTTTATTTTAAAATTTAGTTTATATGATAAAAGCAACTTATTCTTATTTATAAATGACATATTCTTTTTTTCAACTATAATAAAATCAGTCATTATTTTATATTATATAAATATTTATTACAAAATTAAATTAAATAAATAAATAAATAAATATATTCAGTAACTTATTTATATCTGTATCAAAATAAACAAATAGCTTTATCAATATTGATAAAGTACAAATTAAAAATAATTTTTTTTTAAAACAATTATTGACATTATATTTTTGTAATAATTACATAATATATTTTTCTACAGTTGACCCCCCATATTTTATAGTGCAAAACTTAAAGGATCTTTCAAAGATAGATGGACACATGCCACTGAAAACAGTCATAAAAGTCTTCCGTACTCTTCAAAAAAGAAGCGTAGAGAATAATTCGTTGCAACAGGTAATAAACAGAAATAAATAAACATTAACATTAATAAAAATAAGAATTTAAATAATTATTTACAATGCAACAGTCATTAACTTTGAGAAATAAAAATCTATGTACTTTATGTAATATACGTAATTACTTATATATTATTTTTATAAAAATAATATAATTGTATCCTTTAACCCGTACCTCACTTTGTAAAAAATTGACATTTTAACCAATTGTAATTAATCTTCAATAATTAAATTATACTACATTTTATTCTTTTCCAAAATAAAGTATCAATATTTGTTTCTAGAAACTTGAAAATATATTTGTAAATTTTTTTAAATTTTTTGAACCACTTTAATAAGTAGATGAAAAAGTAATCAGACACAAAATATTTATAATGGTCAGGACAGGGTTAAGGCTATAGACTCGTCTTTTTTTAATTATCTAAATATATATCATAAACAAATAATGTACTTTCTTTTTGTAGCACTCAAATAAGAAAAGTAAACTGGATTAAAATAATATTCTTGGATTAGAAGAAATGATGTTCTTGTTTAAATGACATAAATAATTGGATTGGATTCTTTATATTAAAAAAGTTTCTTTTGTTTGTTGAAAGTCTTACATTTATTATGTCTAAACATTATTTGTATTATTCAATTATATATTACACATTAAATATTGTATTACATATATATATACATTTAAATAATAAAGAATGACATAAAATATCATTATTTTATTGTAAATATTGAAAATTACTCCACTTCAATTTCTCTTTCTGCAGATTCTTTGTTTCTTTGTTTGAAGCTTTATATCAGAAACATTATTTACTTTTATAATATTTAGGTTTTTTTATATTTTTGTTAAGAAAAAATATTTTTAAGTATATATCCTAATTAAAAAAAACATGTACTTTTAATGTAAAATATAAAATTAGTTTACATTAATAAAATAAATTAAAGTTTTACGAAAAAAAATATTAAATTATATTTTTTCTCTTTTTTTTATAGGTATAATTTTCAATGAAACGTTTCTCAATTTTTGTACAATTTTCAAACTTATCTCAAAACATATTTATAAAATTATAATTAGTCTATAAAGAAAATATTTTCTATAACACTTACTATAACTATAACTGTAACTTAAATATTCTTAATTACTTTATTACTTTTATAATGAGATAGTAGGTACATTAACGGTATAGAAGTTTCTCATTATGTAGAAGATAAGCAACAATATAAAATTTAAAAAATTTTTTAAAATAATGGTAATGGAAAACGGGTTTAAATTTTAACATGGAACAATGATATTAATCAAGTGGAACATCATATAATAAAATTACGTAAGTGTTTTCATTATACATCTTACATTCTTTTTGGTTTATATAAAAACAATATTTACATTTAACAATATGGATGTACAATTAAATACAAATAATTTATAAAAATTATAATATTTTTTTATATAAGATGGCATGAATATTTACAATGATTTATGTTCAAAGCTGTGACTTAATAGTAATGATGAATAACTTTTGTCTATTGATCAGTACATTCTGAGATCATGACAATTAAATACAATTAAATACAAATAATTTATAAAAATTATAATATTTTTTTATTTAAGATGGCATGTATATTTACAATGATTTATGTTTAAAGCTGTGACTTAATAGTAATAATGAATAACTTTTGTCTATTGATCACTATATTCTTACATCATGACGTCAGAAGCAGAAAAATATAGAATAAAAATTTTTGTTAAATATATTAAATATTAATATATATCTATTAATAACATAACATTTATATTTAACAATGCAAACTTGTAAAATATATAAAAAAAACTTTCCTTTTATTTCAAGGAAATAATTAAATTATATTTATTTTTAAATAATGTTATTTACTTGAGAAATATTTCTATTTTTATTTATCTTACAAGATTTCTATTATGTTATCTCGCTTCTGACGCTACAACTTAAGACAGTAATAGTGAATAAACAGACATCTTAATACTATATGTACATATTTTATATATAATATAAATTTTTTACCTCATATAAATATAACAAAATCATATAAAACTTAGAAAATTTATTCATAAAATGTAAATATCTTATTACTAACTGATAGTGCTTATTTACAGTAAAAATAATACTAAAAAACATTACTTTTAACATTATTTTCCTATCTTTTATTAAGAGTATATAATATGTTAATTCACTTTTGAATATATGTATAAAAATCTAGTTTTGATTACTTAGAAAGATAATAAAAAATAATTTATTTAAGAAATGATACTAAAATAATTTAAATTGCTATAAATTGTGCTAAATTATATTAATCAATTAAATTTTTTAATGTTTTGCATACCTATAATTATGAAAATAAACAGTTTTATGTTTTATGTTACGTATATCTCAAACAAATTAATTACCCACAAATGAAAAAAAAATATTTTTTAAATTAATCAAAAATTAACTAATAAAATAATGTCGGCTATAAAATATACTCTTAATATAATTCGCGAGTCTCATTATTGTCATTTTTATTTTATAACTTAAAAAATCATTCTTTTATATATATATTTTATTATATATATATATATAATAAAAATGACAAAAATGAGATTTGAATTATATTAAGAGTATATTTTCGTCCACTTAAAGCAATTCAATTTAATAATGGCAATGTACCTTATAAACTACAAATTTGTTTAAATACAATTGTTAAAAGTTTGGGAAAATATAAATTATTATGTTCGTCAAATGTAGAACCAAAATGTGTTGAATTCTCCGATGTCTTAAACACGTCAACACGTGTCAGTAAATTTTGTAGTATCAATTTATAACATAATGAAACATTTATGCTATAATAATGCATTTATACTTATAATAAGTTTAGTCTGATAAAGTGTATAACAGACAGATAAATAGTGACAAATACTTTTAACATTATCTTTCTATCTCTTATCTACAGTATATAATATATAAATTTACTTTTGAATATATGTATAAAAATCTAATTTTAATTACTTAAAAAAATAATAACAAATTTATCTAAGAAATAATACTAAAATTTAAACAACAATAACAGTAACAATAACAGTAATATAATAAACAATAATAAATAATAATAATATATAATAACAAATAATAATAATAATAAATACAAAAGTAACATATAGATAACTCTTTTGATGGTAATATTAAAAATTTAAATATGAATATTTCAACATCTAAAAACTTAATAAAATAATAAATATTGATACAATTTATTTTATTTTAAAATTTAGTTTATATGATAAAAGCAACTTATTCTTATTTATTAATGATATATTCTTATTTATAAACATAATGATAAAATTAATCATTATTTTATATTAAATCAATATTTATTATAAAGTTAAATAAACAAATTTATTATAAACATTTTATAAAACTTTATTAGAATATAGATAATATTAAAGGAAATGATATAAGGCAATAATAAAACGTAATGTAAAAATAAACAGTAAAAATAACAGAATTGATTGACAAAAATAATAATACTTTTGTCACCAAGATAATTATAATTAAAATTAAATTACGTTAACACGTGTCAGTAAGTTTTGTAGTATTATTGATTTATAACATAATGAAACATTTAATGCTATAATAATGCATTTATACTATAATAAGCTCTGACTGATAAAGTGTATAACAGAAAGATATATAATGACAAAACAATCATCAGTAATTTTATATTTAATATTTATTTTATATATATATATTTTTTTTTAAATAAATAAATATATATATATATATATATATGTATGTAATAGGTATGTATGTATGTATGTATAATTTTAGCTTTTAGATTTTATTTATATACTTTTGCAGATTCTTTATTTCTAAAATTTTATTTTTTTTATTATACAATTTTTCTAAATTTTTCTCAATTTTTATTTAATTTTTTCAACTTTTATTTAATTATTATTATAAATTTGAAACTTATTTTAAAATATATTTATAAGACATTTTGTAACCGTTCAAATCAACAATATATTTTATTACACTAACTGTAAATGTTAAATAATATTAAGTAATCATATGAAAAGATAATAGATATATTTTCTAAAAATAAGTATTACAGTGTAACGTCTGATATTTTCTTGATATTAAAAACAATTATAAAACATTAAAAACGATAACATTAAAAACAATTATAAAAGTCTATTGTATTAAAAAATATATATATATTTAATAAATATTATATAATAAAAAATATAGTGTTATATTCTACATTTGTGTAATATAAAAATTGACTGAATACTTAAATAATAAATTGGCACAAAAGCAAATAATACTAAATGATGTTTTTTAATTCTTTTGGCTTAAAATTGTTATTTTTATATTTTATTAATATATGTATTTTATTTGTATAAGAAAATTTATAAATGTTAAAATCAATTTATATAAAGAAATATATTTTATTGTAGATATTGGAAACTGCTCAGCTTTATTTCTTTATAATTTATTATATAATCTTTTCACTACGGACAATAATTTTTATTTGTTAAATTTGTTATTTGTACTAAAAGATATTAAATAAAATAGTATTTTTATTTAAAATTATTTAAAATAAATAATTAAAATTTAAATATTTATTAATAAACATTTAACAAAGTATTTATTAATTTATTAATAATTTATTAATAATAAAATACGTAAGTTTAAAGTATATATATTGTGTACATATATACAAGCTATTTCATTTTAATCAATCAACCCTAAACATTTTTTTGTGATTTTAGAAAGAAATATTTCAGACAAAAATTGTTTGGTTTGAAAGGAAACATATGATTCCAATATAAGACGTGTCATACATGTCATTATTTTCAGGAAATTTTAAAGAAGACTAATTTCTTAAATAGAATTTAATTTTTTTTAAATAAAAATTGTTGATCTTGTCGAGACGTTTTTAAAACACTATAATAAAGCTCTCTTTTGTTGAGAATTTCCTGAAATATTTAAAATTTTATTATAATAATTTTAAAATAAAATATAAAATATCTCGTAAAGTGTTCATTTTTCGATAACCTTGCCTTCATACTTTTATACATAAATTATGAGAGAATCAAATGTAAAAAAAAAAACAAAAAAATTATTTTAAAAAATTTGACTGCATTTTATAGACATTTAATTTTACAAAATTGCAAATGTAAAAATTATTATTATTTACTTCCTTTCATTATTCTACATATAAAAGTATGAAAGTATAGTTATAGAAAAATGAATTATACTTCACGAGATATTTCATATTATAACAAAATTTTGAATCTCGAGAAATTCTTAATGAAAGAGAGCTTTATTACAGTGTTTCGAAAACGTCTCGAGATGTATAACTTTTATCTCAAGAAACAAATCAAGTTCCATTTAAGAAATTAATAAGAATCACAAATAAAAAAGTTTTTGGGAATGATCGATTAAAATGGAATGTGTATATATGTATGTATATATGTATATATATATATATATATATATATATATATATATATATATGTATATATATTTAATAAAATGTTTTGTCATGCAATATCAATGGCTCTTCTACATGTAGCGTTAT